AAAAGTACTCTTTTAATTCGCGCACCAAAAACCAATAATTTCCATTTTTACACTATTAATTCGTGGACTTTATAATTATATTTACTACCGCAAACTAATCAAGTTTTTACGGTACAACAACACTAAAGTTGAGTCAAAGTACAGTATTTCTGTATAAACTACAGTCAGTTACAATAAACTCAAAATCAACACAGATTCAAATGTGTAAGATTTATTATTTTACATAACAAAATGACACAGATATTTGAAACTACCTGTTTGGACTAGTCCATAAACTGTGGTCTTCTTTCCCTCTGTCCACTCATCCACCACTTCAGAACAGCAGCCTCTGCATTGTAAGTTACAGTGTCTGGGCCATGGATGGAGATGTTAAGTAGATAGTCCAACATCTCATTACTCAATGAACTTCTCCAATCTGACTTTATGCGATTAAGACATGAAAAACCTCTTTCACAGCATGCCAAATTCATCTCGAGCTTAGCACCTGGAGTTATCTGAAACACATTAACCAGAACAAATTCTAGTTAATTCTCCTTTTTGTTTCACAATTTACAATTACATATATGTAATACAATGCTAAACTTTCTTCTTAGAAACCTTGGAAATATTCTTCACTTGCAGGCCCACAAGCTTTGGAAACAGAGTAAAGGGAGCCTCCTCTTTCGCCACAAAATAGGCGGTATTGAACAAACTTATAAGTTTGTCTCTAACTGCATTGTCCATGTGTTGTAAAGCATGTCGTAACGGTGCATGAACTGGGTTCTGTCTGGCTTTATTTGCTGCAACACACAGTCCATGAGCAACTATCTTTTTATGCTCTTGGAGAGTTTTTACTCTAATCTTATCTCCCATAACCCCATGAAACAGAGAGTTGTCTTTTGCTACCCTGGGTTCAGCCCTGCACGTTTTGCAGAACATCACTTCTGCTTCGTAGTCAAAGTCATAGGTTTTCCGACACTTCTCCAGGAAGCATCTCTTCCGTTAGTCCTCATACTTTCTAGAAGCTGGCACTGTGTTCTAAAGTAGGAAAAGAAAAAAAAAATATCTATCAGCTAAATTGATAATTTTCAATCAATGAAGTAGTTCATTTCTTTCTCAAAAGGATAAAATGAAAGTTTGTATTAAATTAGAAGAATAATATTTAAGGTCATATACTAAAGTTCTTGGTTACTGACAGTCACAAAAGAAAATAAATAAAATAACCTTGGTCATTACAGACTTAAAGCCATAAACAGTTTATTGAAATCAATTGGAATACATGTATGTCAAACAAGAATTAGGCCTTGTTGTGGTTTAACCAGATTCATAAGGAAATCATACACTACCGGTGATAGAATTTTCCTTGCATTAAATAATTATAGTTCATCGAAAAAAGTAACTTTACACCAATGATAATTTTGAAGTGGATAAAAACATACCAAGGACTTCTGCACTGGCGGCTCGACGTCGTACGTGTCGTTTTCATCATCACTTGAGCTTTCATCAGATCCCCCCTGTTATGTCACGGGACACAGAGTAGTGACTGGGGCTGGACTTGAAGTTGAACTTGAAGCAATGGCTGACTCGGGTGCTTTAAGTATTCCACGTGAGGTCTTTGCCTTTTTGGTTGGCCGTTCGCCCGAATGAACTGTGTCAGCATTGATCACGATGGAGCCCCCCTCCCTCCTTCCATCGGCCCTCGCATCACGTTCGCAATCTGAAGACTGCTGATGACAATCGGGCTGAACACTGTTGGTCTCCTTGGCTGAAGCACTGGGCGTCGCTTCCTTCGACAGTGTGGGCCCAGGGGCGTCGCGCAGGGAAAAAAAGCCGAGAATTTTCCTCTGTGCCATCCAAAGACTCCACACTTCACAACATACAGGGTATGCAAATGAGTCTCTAGGTGGTAGTTGAGCGCGATAATTGAGCGTCTCAGTTTTTACAAAGATACGAGTTGAGCGTACGCTCACTTTTAAATGTAAGCGCGGGGACAAACTGGAATGCTGGTAACGTCATGAAAGCTACACTCAATTTAACATGAAGTTGATACATGTTCACATGAGAGGACGTTTGTTAAAACAGATGCAACCATATTTAATTAAATATTCACGCAGTTTGAACCCTTGTAAAATGGACACGTCTGGTAATGAGAGACTATGTCGCTCACTTTTACATGAAATAGTAGGCGTAGAACCAAAATGGAATGAGAAGTGCGTGTGTATGATTTTAAGAAACCATAAGTCCGCCAGTGAATACATGAAGTTTTTGAGAGTACCATTTTGATTTACGCAAAATAAATGTCGGGATCAGCAACAATTATATTTAATAGTTAATAAAGATGCAACTCTGGCGTTTGTTTTGTCTAGAGTGTATTCATTTGTTGTCGTCTGTAAACAACGCTCAGTGACTAAGAGTTGTTGTGCACACATAAAAGAATGACGTTTTATTAATGAAACATTCCCAATTTGCTCATATGTCCGGATCAACCTTCATAGATTTACACTACAGCAATGGTAGTGCAAAGCTGCACGTTGCTACATTTATACAAATACGTTAGATGTGCGTGAATCGTTTCGTGATCGTAAGAATCATTTGGCTTCAATTGGCTGACCCTCATGAAAATATAAATTTACATGTAAAATACACATTTGATCGAGACTGCATTAGTGGTGTCAGCATTGCATCTAAATTACTATATTGTATTCGGCATTTAAAAACTCCATTCATATACTGGTGACTAAAGTGTGCGGAAAATAATTCTGCTTTCTTGAAATGAGTCACGCATGTATTCCTCAATCTGTGTAATTCAATTGTTTTTTCTCATGTCTAGTTTTAAGTGAGCGTACACTCTCTTTCTGCTAACATGTATTTCCATCTTTATCAGTAAAGTATACTTACTTTAATTAAATATGACGTGCAATAACAAAATAAATGTAGCTATGTGACGAAATAATATTTATTAAAACATCGGAGCTATGCAAAGTCACTTGAACGCTGATATTTTAATTAAATGAAAACTCAATATTTACTTGGCCGTAACGGACATGGAAACAAATTTATTAATATATATATAATTCTTCTCATCCCACCCATACTTGTTGGGACTCTACTGGTTAGTTGTCTACAAGTGACAGAAACGGACATCTCCATTCATCAATCTGTAACGTAATAATGTGGTAACACCTCGGTCGAGGTGTTAATTGGGTCGCAAGACTTCAATTTACATTGTTTGGCACCATGCCCAATTTTGAAAGTGAGCGTAGGCTCAACTTGTATCTTTGGAAAGCTGAGATGCCCCTTTTTTCTTTACAAGGTCATATGGGTCAAACTGTGTGAATATTTAATTAAACATGGTTGCTTTGTTTTAACAAAAGTCCTCTCGCGTGAATTTGTGTCGACTTCATGTTAAACTGAGCGTAGCTCTCATTACATTACCAGCATTCGATGGTTTGTCCCCATGCTTTACTTTTTAAAAGTGAGCGTACGCTCAACTCATATCTACGTGAAAACTGAGGCGGGAAAGTGCACGCGTATGGGAAGAGCTAAATGCAGATCAAAGGGATGGGGCGGAGTAAAGAATCAGGGTGTTAGCAGCTTCCAGGCGCGCAGTAATTGCACAACCACAGACCAAATTCGGGGGCCTTTTGGGAGCCGACAGCTTGTTCACGCACCTGACAAACTATAATGGGTTTAAATAACGATGTTGATTATTTTTCTATCGTCCCAAAAAAGATCCCAAAATGAATTTCTAGTGGTCCCGGCCTAAATTTTTAGTGCCCCGGGCCGTCGGGACGATGTTAATTTTGAGGCCTGTCATTATATTCTAAATAACTTAACTGGAAGTGAAATTATATAAGATTTTCCACTAGGATCGATCAAACATTAACCAAAAATATACGCCACCATCTTGTTCTTGACATATTCATTAACAAAAACTTTTGCCAACGTTCCAGTCCTCTAGGTTCTTTTTTCGGCCACAAAAAAGGTATTTGTAATCGCTAGATTGGTCGATAGATGTTTTAGCTGGATACAATCATGAAAACTGCAGAACGGTTCTCCGCCATAAATTTGTAGGCGGGTGTCGAATTCTCAGTCTATACGACTTTTCAGGACTGTGGGGGCCGAATGATCAGCGGAAGAAGGCCAGCCTACAGGACTGTATTCAGGGCTAGATCAAATCCAACACACGCCTGACAGAACGATGTAGTTTTGTCACTTCCGCCGACGATTTTTTGTAAGTACCAAAATCAAATTGCAGGAACGTCAGAAAGTGACAGCCATCAAAGAGTAACCATTCTCTGCAGAGTTTATTTTCGCCAATTGTTTATCATCTTGTTGAAAACAGTCTATGATTTTTGCTGACAATGACAACCAAAATGAATATTCATTGAAACTCATTGCATGGAGTTTTACAGAACCCTGGTTTGCATGTCCATGTTCTTTTTTTTACTTACCTTTTTACCTTACCTTTTATTAAAATATCATCTTTAATAAAACTGTATTATTATTATTATATGTAGTTCCAACATAATTCAGAGCATGGCATGCTGGCTATGATGTCATACTTTATCCATAATCCTTTACTGGAGAATCAAGATGGTGGACTACATAATACTGATGAATTGTTGAATATCTAGAGAATGAAAAGTGATATGAAAAAAACTGTAAATTGCCAACTGCTATGTTTACAATTTCATCTGGTAGCATCATGTTGTTTGCCTGGTCTTTCCCCTTAATTAATTGCAATATTTGACCCACTGACAGTGTGTTGATGAGATTTTTAATGAGTTTACATCTCCTGTTGTTGTTTTAGAATTTGGGCGCCAATAAAATTTGTAGCGACAATCATTCACTAGATATTTTCGTTGCATCTCTCACATCACTTGCATATCTTATAAATCATTGGTATGATGATAAATGCTTCATTGTTATTTTTTTACAGTGGCATGTTGTACACAAATATGGAGCAGTGCTCACTAGATAAATGTTACTAATATTTATGATTGATCATTACTTCACAGTTTGTTGCCATGACATCACTGTATGCAAAGAGAATGGCTCGCCTTAGTGCGAGGATATTTGGTGAAGTGGTGAGAACAACCAACGAACGGTCCATGAGAGTTGTCAAGTTATTTAGTGAGAAGCCACTGGATAAGAGACCTGAAATCGTCAATTACTATCCTCCACATCCACAGACACATTCACTTATGAAAAGACTAAGGCATATTGGATTATACAGGTTTGTATTTAAATAAAATGATGTGTTTATTTATCCTATATTATAAGTACATCTAAAAAGGCTTCTTTTTTTTTAGTGGTATATATAACAACCCAACTATTATTAGTGTTTCTTTACATTGCCCTAAAACAAATAAAGGTGTGAACAGGTTACCTTACTACGTAAACCGCTTTTATAAGAGCATGTGATGTAACTACTACACAAATAATTTTTCGTGACTGTATTTACATATTTGAGCATAATTTGAAAAATTAATGAGGCCCGTTAGACTGTAAGTCACATTTCTATTAGAACTACTGTGAAATTGAGTTCCTGGTAAAAATATTGCCTTAAAGTGTAACTGAATTGGGACAATTGACTTTTTTGGTGTGCAAAATTTATTTATGAACAACATTATGAAAAAAAATCAAGTGAAAAAGGCTTAATTATTCACTGGGTTTTAATTTTGCTTATTTCGCTGACTGGAAAATGCGCTAAATTAAAACCCAGTGAATATGTAAAATTTAGCATAGAACACATTACCTAAATGATAAAACCGTGAATTTAAAACCTACTGAAATGGTAAATCAGTGAAATTTAAACCCAGTGAATATTAGTCATTTTACAGTACATTAAATAAACGATCAATAATAATGTTCTGGATAAGGAAACGCCCACGTCCAATTTCTTGGCCGACTCAGAACGAGGCTCCAGCTAGAGAGCCTAATTAGCATACAAGGGTGATTTGTGACGTCACAGAGGGAATTTGTCATCGTTTCACGATAGCCGCTATACACATGCAGTGCTCGGAAAGCGACACGGAATCTATCTGACGAGAGTTATGAGATCAAGGAATATGATGACAACGAGAGATGTCATGATTTTGTTTTAGAATGCCAGGGATAAATTGGCCCATACATGTGGGTGACCGTGTACCTCCCCAAAATGACCGTGACGATTCAGACACAGGCACAGAGTTTGAACATCATGACTGGTTTGGCAACTCAGATCAGTGTTTTGAGAAAATGCAATTAACAGTTTCTTGATCTTCTGATGAAATGATGTAAAAGACACAAAGTATATGAATGGTGATTACGTCCAGTGCTTCAAGTTACATTTTCCAATCGCCATTTTGTGTTTTGTTGTTGTTCCACGATCGATCTAGTCATTTCGACTCCGGCATAATTACATGAATTCATTCTAAACTTTTCAAGCAAATTAATATTCATATTCTACATGGAAAATATTATTTTTCTGGTTGTTTACACAGTCAGTGACGCATGTACCAAAACCGGAAATACTCCACATCTTTTGGAAACGCATAAAAACTTACGTGATCGCTGTGTGTGTTGCTACACCCGCCAACATCACAGCGTTTCCTTTTGATAACGATCGTGGTAGCTTGTTGTATATGCTGGTTTACTAAATGTGTGCGTATGGAAAATGATAAACAATCCTGTCTGCTAGTTATCTCCTGCTTTATGGTCCCGTTGGTGGCGCCATTTCGGCAACACCCGTAATGTCAAAAAAACGTGAAGGTAACGGGAGATGGGGGCGTGGCCCGATTTTGGAATATCATGGACTGTTTACCCAATTTGTATACCCTTTTCACTTGATTTTTAGTGATGGTTTGCCCTGTGTGCGTCCGTCCGTCTGTCCGTGCATCTGTCCGTCCGTCCGTGATCACCTGTATCTCGAACATGCATGGACCGATTAAGTTCAAACTTCACTCGTACATCACACATTATATGGGACATATGCACATGCATTTTTTTCATGATCTGATTAACGATAGCCGAATAGCGGCCATTTTAAGGCCGAAAATGCATCAAAATCGCACATTTTCACCATTCCGGACCCGGATCTCAGTTATGCATGGACGGATTTTGTTCAAATTTGGTACATACATTAAACATAATAGGACCTTGATGCACGTCATTTTTTTTTTGGATCGGGTTCGTAATGGCCGACTGGCGGCCATTTTGTTTTAAAGAATTCAGTTCTGGATCCGTATCTGAGACATGCTTGGATTGATCGAGTTCAAACTTCACACACACAAGGTACATCATGTCACAAATATGTATGTGCATTTGTTTCATGATCTCATTAACGATAGCCAAATGGCGGCCGCTTTAAGGCCGAAAATGCATTGAAATCGCACATTTTCACCATTCCGGACCCGGATCTCAGTTATGCATGGACGGATTTCATTCAAATTTGGTACATACATTAAACATAATAGGACCTTGATGCACGTCATTTTTTTTTCCGGATCAAGTTCGAAATGGCCGACTGGCGGCCATTTTGTTAAAGAATTCAGTTCTGGATCCGTATCCAAGACATGTCTGGATTGATCAAGTTCAAACTTCACACACACATGGTACATCATGTCACAAATAGATATGTGCATTTGTTTCATGATCTGCTTAACAATAGTGGAATGATGGCCATTTTAAGGCCGAAAATGCATCAAAATCGCGTATTTTCACAATTCCAGAACCGGATCTCAGTCATGCATGGATGGATTTTGTTCAGATTTAGCACAATGTGTTGTACATATGCAGGTGCATTTCGGTCATGATCTGCTTTGAATGTATATGTCACTCAAATATGAACGGAACGGGGATGTGTCATTGACAATGACTTGTTTTTCATAATGTTGTTTATAAGTATATTTTGCACAAAAAAAAAAAGTCAATTGGCCCAATTCAGTTACACTTTAAATTCTGCACCCAAACAAAAACTCATTGATGAGGGAGGTGATAGGAAGTGATTTTAATTATTGCACTGTGTTGTTAATTACAGACATCACCTATCATTGTCCTGTAAATAGTAGGGGAAATTATGCTGAAAGTGGTGTTGAATAAATTATGATTTTTACCATCCCTGTTTTTATCATCTTTATCATGCTTTCCAGAGATGAACATGAAGATTTTGTGGATGAAATGAAGAGAGTGAGAAAACTAAGAGGAAAAGGAAAGCCCAAAAAGGGGGAAGGAAAAAGAGCACTGAAAGCAAAATAGATGCATAAAGAGAAGTGACTTTTATATTGAACAGTCTCTGTTATATGTGGATCTTGATATGGGCCAAGAATGAATATGTCTGTCTGTCTGTTCAATCCATCCATCAATGTCTGTGTCATTTCAACATAATAAAACACATTACTAGTGAAATAAACATGGTATATTGCATTTCGGTTATAAGTACCTGTTCAGACGAAGTCTGAAAACGGGGACTATTAATTTGGGTTCCGTCTGTGTGTCCGCCCTGAGCCATTTCTCGGATACACTTTGGCCGTTCCGGTTCAAACTTTGCATACAGACAATGTATGATGATCCACATAATGCACGCCAATTTTTCCTATGATTTGATCAAATATGTCTGATTGGCAGCCATTTTGTCCCTAAATTTGCTAAATTCTGATATTTAAACGTGTCCGGAACTGTTTCGCAGAGCTGAACAGAGTGATTTCAATCAAACTTTGTATGGTGATCATGCATATTGGGTTATAAGTGCACGTCACTTTTTTTTGAGATTCAGTCCAAGATGGCCGACTGGCGGCCATTTAGTTTTTTCCCTGTTTTTGTGCTGATTCCTCCATAAGATATGGCCTGATTCAGTTCAAAGTTTATACATAGGTACTATACTTCAAGATAACACAACACCATGTTTTGTTTTTAGATTTGATCAAATTTGTTGAAATGGCGGTCATTTTGTTTAATATCTTAAAATCACAGTCTGTAACGTGTCCAGAACTGTTTCTCAGGGCTTGATAGGGCAATTTCAATCAAACTTTGTGTGGTGATCATGTATATTGGGTTACTCGTGCACATCATATTTTTTTCAAAATTTGGACTGACTCACGGCCATTTTGTTTTTTCTTTTTTGTGTATATTACTCTGAAAGATATGGCTTGATTCAGTTCAATGTTTGACCATTTTGCCGAAAAAACATAAAATCACATTCTGTAACATGTCCAGAACTATTTCTTGGATGTGCCGTCTAAGTGACGCAATTTCTTGTGCTCTCTCCCTGGCACACCAATGATACAACAGAAAATTATTTAAAGACATCATACTATACATATGGATTTAGGTTATTCAGCATTCAGGCACATACATACAATCTTTATTCGCTTTTGAACATGCTACTCCCCAGTGTTCACCAAGGTGACCAAGCTTAATATTTTGAATTTTATTGTCATTCAAGTTCAGTCCTGTACACTTGCAGGTAGCTTCAGTTCAAATTCCATGTGTAATGTAAGATAATAAAGATACAATAATTGTCAATCCATAATAAACGAAAACATCTGCTATTGTTTGAAGAGTGGACATTTATTTTGTTTGTGTATTATTTACAAAACAGGTAAACTGTCTATTGGTGTTTAATTGTAAGATTAAACTGTATTTATGTCACAAGATTTTGCCTTTTCTTTCATGATCATTTGACTAAGGGGTCTTTCATGGCCATTGCACTAGGGGGTATGTTTTCTCTCTACTCAGCGTCTCATGCCACACTTTCTAGAAGACTGCATCTTGGTTTTTTTATGTCTATCATTTTAAAATATTTTTTCTATATATATTCCATATCCGTGTCAACTATCATGGAAAATCGTTGTATGAGCACACGTCAACAATGTAGAAAATGCCCTGCACGGGTTGCAGAAGACCAGTCACCGGTAACAAGGAGCGATACAGCAGCAGACGATGCGGCTACTTCTAAGCAGGCGCGAGGACGACGACCTTTCCGACCTACAAGAACAAGAAATGCCACTCTTGACCCCAATAATCCTGCTAACTGGTCTACCAGCGAACTAAAATCAAAAATGAAAGACATGGGTTTCAATTTACCAGCAGGACTATCACGGAAATCATTTATCAAAATTTATGAACTTAATGCAGGACAATCAAGAGAGCATGAGGCTTTTACTTCCCAACCGATATCGGTAGAGTCATCGGAAAACAGGCAGAATATCGAGATTTGTAACGATGCAACTAATATTTTAATACAAGAAAATAACATTTCTGATACTGAAGAGCCTAGCTCGGACGCCGATACAAGTTTACGTTGTGAAATCAACGATTTACGTCAAACGGTACAAGGGTTATGTTCTACGGTTCAAAATATGAATTCCAACATCACAACCTTGTCTTCATGCAATGCATCACGGGAAACTGACCCAGCTGGGTCATTACGTCAATCCAATATGGCTGCCTCCTTGGTAAACAGACCGATACCCGGAAGAAACAAAGCAAGTCAGAATTCAATTTTCGTGGGTGCACAAAGATGCGATTTGACTCCCAATGTATTAAATAGCACAGGACAGAACGATCTGACCAAAAGGATAAGTTTTGGAGTACCATCGCATGAATTGTCAAGGATTGTAAATGTATCAGAGACCATGAGAGATAACATTGTCAAAAGTAAATATATTAATTTAGCAGCTCTGCTAATACCAGCCCATGAAATGTCAGACAATCGATCTATTATGGATTTAGCTGGGAATGAAATACATATCAAAGGAAATTCGGATCCTCGTCTAAATAAGTCCCTAACTTGAAGTGAATTCCTGGTGGCATTTGGAAGGTATAAGGCAGTTATGTGTGATCGAGATGCTCATCCGGGGAGGCGAGAGGAATTGGACTGTATGAAAATGACATAATTGATATGGCCAATAGTTATGGAGCTGTGTTTTATGATTACCATGTACAATTTTCTATGAATGCAGCTACATGGCTCCAACTAAAAAAAGTTAAAGTAGACTGGTCCGTCAGAGACAATAATCTTTTTATTAAATGTTCAGCTGGTCGGAAAGCTGCTGCATGTGTGATTTGTAACAGCACCCTCCATATGCAAGACTGCTGTCCACAAAAGAGATTTGGACAGGCAGGGCAGTTAAGCACAAATCAACAGCAACGCACTACAGATATAAGAGGACGTAAGCGAGTGTTCTATAATGGGAGAGAGCTTTGCAACAACTTAAACTCGCAGAATGGTTGTTTGCGACCAGGCTGTTCATTCCTCCACGTTCTATTTGTAAAGGTGGACACTAGTTTGAAACGTTCCAAATCCATTACTACTGCTGATAAAAAGACGCTGGCAATTATGCAATGACAACTTTTCGCAAGTACTCCAATTAATATTGACAAATTAGAGGAACTGTTAATGGAACATCTGGATAGGATTTTTGTTGACAATCTGTGTACAGGACTTAGGAATGGTTTCTTAACTGGGATCAGTGATGTCCCAGTTGTCTCTTTTGAGTGTACTAATAATTTATCAGCCAGGCAGATCCAGTTTCTGTCAGTATCCTTTTACAATCAGAAATAGATAAAGGTTATGTGATAGAACCCTTTGTTACCCCCACCCCCCATTCCCTGTCTATTGCATCAGCCCTCTTGGTATAGCTGAAGGTGAATATTCAGGCAAGAAACTCCTTATAGTAGATTTTTCAGCTACTCACAATGAACCAGGGGTTACAAGTCTTAATGATGTCATTGGTAAGGCTTCTTTTTCGATGTCATATATTAAAATAGATGATGCTATTGAGGAATATAATTGATATAACTGACGCATTTAAGCAAGTTCCCTTTCATGGGGTAAAATGGGAGGGCAAGTATTACTTTTTTGTTAGATTAGTATTTGGTTGCAGATCTAGCCCAAAGATTTTTGACATGCTGTCCCAAGCAATTTGTTGGGTTGCTGAACATTTCTATGGAATTAAATTCATCTTACACCTGTTAGATGAAAAGGGGACTTATAATTCAGGTTATGTCAAATGTCCGGTTTCCGTTTTCCATATTCCATTTTCCGTCTCCAACATTTTCTCAGAAATTCTACAGCAGATATCAGTGAAACTTGGCAGGTTGATGAACAAGTCTCTGCTGAGTATGCACGTAATTTTTTTTCCAGATCTGAAAATCCCAAGTGAGTCATTTTCACAATTTCCATCAAAAATTTCAGTTAAAATAAAATCCAGCGAATATACCCTTTTCTTATATTTTACAGTCAACTTGTCAAAAATCAATGAAAATAAATTCAATACAAAACGCCCAGAAAAAGTCTTTTCAGCGAATGATAAATATTTTACAGTAGATTAGATCTGTGAGTAACGATACAGCACGTGATTTCTCCATTGCGTGCAATTTATTATACATGTAGTACTGTTTATACATGTATTCTGTTCGGCTCAGTGGTCTCATTCACTAGTTACTAGAAGAACTAGTAACTTTATTTGATATCAAGAAGGCGGCATAAGAGACGTGTTTGCAAAGGTAAGTTCTCCAGTTTCAGCAAAATTTAATGTATATTGGGGTACGATTAGTGTACATTCTGTGACGTACGGACGTGAATATTATGATTGCCAGCTTTATATTCGAGTGAAAAGTCAAAAAAATTAAACAATTGTCTCTAATCTACGAAACAAGTTCGTAATTTGTATACCCTGTCAAATTATTGTACATGGGGACATAGTTTTCAAGTAAAACGTTATCCGATCTTTTGCTTGTGTCGCGATTTCCGAAATATCCACAACTCGGAGGGGGGGGGGGGGGGAGAATGTCCTTGTGTCGATCAATTTATTCATTATATAATAGTAGGTTGCCTAATAAGATTATATTTGTATTTTTTATGTTGTGAGCATTAAACTGTTAGTTGTAATGAAGATTTTGCCGATCTCCTGCGATTCAACATGGCGGATGTACAGTGACAACACGTGTATGGACGGTCAGTCAAGTAGTCTGCAAGGGACCATAAAATCGCCTTGCGTTTTTTTGACTCCCGTGTGCGAAGCACAAAAGGGAGTCTTTGCAGTTACCTTGTCTGTATGTCTGTATGTATGTCACTTATTTTTGTTCCATCGTTATCTCAAGAACCACTTATCAAATTTTGGTGAAACTTGGTACATAGATGCTCTGGGATAAAGCGCAGAGTTGATTAGGTTTTGGTGAAAATCCATGAATATTAATTACCTAATTTGCATGATAATTAGCTGATTTTTAGCTGTTCCATGATTGTTCCACTGATATCTAAAGAACCACTCATTGGATTTTGATGAAACTTGGCACATAGATGCTCTGAACTAGTGCGCAGATTTGATTAGTTTTGGGTAAAAATATATGAATATTAATTACCTAATTTGCATAATAATTAACTTATTTTAAGTTGTTCCATGACTGTTCCACTGATATTTGAAGAACCATTCATTGGATTTTGATGAAACTTGGCACATGAATACTCTGAACTAATGCGCATAATGATTAATCAATTTCTGGCTTTTCCACTGATATCTCAAGTACTAATCATCACATTTCAATAAAACTTACATAGATGTCATATTACACTGCACAGACCTGATAGTTTTTAAGGTAATATCAGTGCATATTAATTACCTAATTTACATAATTAATTAATTTTCAGCTTTTGATATTTCGAGTAGTAATGATCACGCTTCAATGAAACTTGGTACATAGTTACTTGAGGACTGTGCAGAGACCTGATCAGTTTTTGGGTAAATATTTGTCCATATTAATCACCTTATTAGCATAATTAGTTCATTTTCAGCTTTTCACCTGATACAAATGTATCTCAAGTACTGATCATCATATTTCAATGAGACTTGCAACATAGATCTTCTAGGACTATGCAGAGACCTGATTAATTTTGAGTTAAATAATTGTGCATATTAATTACCTAATTTGCATAATTAGTTAGTTTTTTTGCTGTTCTATGGCTGTTGCACTGATGTCTAAAAAAAATACTCATTGGATTTTAATGAAACTTTTAAAGAGTACCCATCCCATTTCAATGAACCTAGGACTATACACCATATTGGTTTTTAGCTCTGCTGTCGACTTTGTCGAGCGGAGCTTATCATATGAGTGATTTTCCGTCGTCGTCCGTGTCAATGTTTTACTTTTTCAACTTCTTCTTGAAAACTACAAGCCTGAATGCTTTGATACTTGGTGTATATGTACCTTGGGTAGACCTCTCTTAGGTTTGTTCATTTCATGTTGATATCTTCAATTCTCTAATTTTGGTGAATATTTTTGTCATTTTTGGTAAAAAGTGATATTTTCGACTTCTTGTTAAAAACCGCAAGTGCAATTGCTTTGATATTACATATATAGGTTATACATGTGGACCTCTCTCAGATTTGTTCATTTTGTGATGATATCTTCAATTCTCTAATTTTGGTGAATATTTTTGTAGTTTTTGGTAAAAAGTGATATTTTCGATTTCTTGTTAAAAACCAATAGTTCAATTGCTTTGATATTACATATATAGATACTACATGTAGACCTTTCTCAGATTTGTTCATTTTGTGATGATATCTTCAATTCTCTAATTTTGGTGAATATTTTTGTCATTTTTGGTAAAAAGTGATATTTTTGACTTCTTGTTAAAAACCACAAGTCCA